GTTCCCTATCACCAGCTTCCTTGTCCCCTTCTACCTTCTGGCCCTTGTCACTGGACTCCTGTACCTCATTAGTCTCATTTGGTTTTACGGGGCTGTCCACTCCCAGGCTGAACAGTGAACCTCGGAGGTAACTTCACCACTGAGCTAAAAGGGTGTCTGGGGGCCACTGGAATACTTTTAACGTCATACCTGGAATTCGAATATTCTCTTGGCACCACAAGGACAATTCGGAATATCCTTCTCTTGAGGGACATTTTCACCAGAAATCCAGACGGGGGCAGCCCCACGGCCATACCTGAGAATCTGAAACCAACCAGGATCATCAAATGTCAGTGGCTCATCTGGAAGCTGCTGACAGGCACACGCACCTGACGCCGTGTGGGAATGGCGGCCTGCTCGCACCCCCCACAGCACATGGCTTGTCACCAGAAGCGCCGTCCTCTCACCGGACATCGCGGATTCCTCAGGACGGTTCCCCTGATGCAGCTCCCACTGCCAACCGGAGCAGAGGACCCCGAAAATCTATGTTCTAGCCAACACTGCTCACACCACTCGATGTGGTCGGCTTCCACCACGAATCACGGGGAGGGACCTGATTCCTCTGCTTCCCCACAACCCGTTCTGCCCCCACGGGGCAACCTTCACGCAAACACAGAAGCCTTGGATAGAAATTTAAAGGGACAAGCACCCAGGGAGACATGGGTGTCTGGGTAGACATTACAACCCCAGGTGGACTCTGTGATGAAAAGCTACTGTCTGTCACACACGCAGCGTGGAAAACCGCCTCAGTGCGCAGGACTAGGCCTGTTCCTGCTCTAGGCCCTGGTATGTACCAGACTCAGTGGCTGTTCATGGGAATTCAGCTGTGCCCTCTCTGTCTTTAGTGATGCGTAAGTTTATGGTGAGGGCAGTGAAGGGGAATAATCCTGATGGAGAAAAAGAGGAAGAAGTCCCACATGTGCTGAGTGCTCACCATGCACCTGGACCCTGCGTTTCCACGCCTGGTGGATAAGGTGATGTCAGAGGCTACGAACCGATGAGTGGGAGGTCACCTGGCCCCTCCAACTCCAAAACCCGCATTCTGTTCACAAAACCAATGTCTTTGTGTTAACATGTTGACATGCTGGTCATATAAGCCAAAGGTCACTGTTGGAAACTAGGCAAAAATACCTTTTTCCCCTTGCCCTTTGTCCCTAAACTCCATTTACCCCAAGCCCCTGGGTCTTAGCACGTAGTAAGCCTCAGTATACTGAATCTAGATGGCAAACAGCATAACCTTTAGTCTTGCAATGGCTGTCAATGGACTGGCACTGCCAACAAGTTTCTACACAGACTACCTGTAACAGGACAGCCAGCGAGGCTTTCGTGGCTCTGGAGGACAGAACAGCTTTACACCCATAAAACATGGCCTGGCCAGAACACGGTAAGCACAAGGGAGTTCTAGCTTACCTGCTCAGGTTCAAGGGCTATTTGCTTTTTAAACTTCTGGAAAATTTTATCTTCCCTGGACTCGTGCTTTGCCATGGATTCCAATTCGTCTTCAAACGCTTCACCTGAAAGATCCCCAATACCATTATGGAAAGCAGGACTAGCGCCCACAACTTACCATACACACACGTGAGGGACCCGTTTAAATGGCCAGGCTTATGCTGGCAGAATCAGCAAGCAGTGAGATGAGCCACATACTTTCATGCTTGGCCTGTCCTGCTCAAAGAACCATCTTGACCCCCAGGGACCCCAGGGCCTATTCATGACCCGGCTCCTCCGGGTTCTTCCCTGGAAGCTTCACACAAGAAGCGCCAGTCCGGGGGGAGTGGCTGTGCTGGCTGCAAACACAGCCTTGCGGCTAAACTGCCACCAGACTTCAGTCCCTCACACCCAGGGGACCTTCAGGGTGAGTATCTTTGGGCCACGGACACCCCTTCCCACCTCGTACGTTCGTTTACTCAGGGCCCGAGACCTCCCTCCAGCCAACCAAACCTCTGCGGGCCCCACACTCTCCTCCCAGCCTCTCCACCAGGACCCAGATGGCCTGAGCTCCGGCCACTAACTCCAGGAAGCATTTTCCTTTTTGTTTTTACTTTCTATTTTGGAGAATTCTGAACACTACAACTGCAGAAAGAATACTCAGATGACCACCACGTGCCCAGCCAGCTCCCACACTGTCGCCTCAGGTCAGTACGCTTCCTCTCTGTCCCTCCTACCCAACTTGGTGACTTTGAAGTAAATCCCAGACATATCACATACGTGGATAATCCAGTACGGACTGCAAAAAGCCACAAACTCGCTAAATGCTAACTCTTGATTTACCAGTGGTCACAATCATGAGTTTGCCTCCAGAATCCTACAAAAACCACCACGGAGGTGTCTTGTCACTATCATTTTGAACTCGAATGTAAATATACTCCGTGTGTTGTAATCCACGTGTCTGTCAGTCTGTCATACTGTGGTGGCTTAGGTGTTGCTGGGATACTGGAAGCTCTGCCACCAGTATTTCAAATTCTAGCAGGGTCACCCTCGGTGGACAGGTTTCAGCTGAGCTTCCAGACTAAGACACACTAAGAAGTAGACCTCATGGTCTATTTCTGAAAAAATTGGCCACTGGAAACTTTGTGAATAGCAGTGGAACACTGTCTGATTTAGTGCCGGAAAATGAGCCCTTCAGGCTGTAAGGCACTCAAAACACAAAGGGGGAAGAGGTGCCTCCTCAAAGTAAAGTCAACCTTAATGACGTCGATGAAGTCAAGCTTGAGTTGTATGTGGCCGTTGAAACAAACTACTGAACTCAGCAGAGAAGTAGAGAGTGCTGTGAGCGGGACAGCTGGTGTCAGAATTGGTAAAGATGGTGGAGAGAGGAGGCGTGTCTGGTCTCCATCTCACAGGAATCAGCCTTGGGCTGTTGATCTAGATTCTCCTCCCCACTTGCGAAGTTAAAGGAGGTCAGATGACCCCGCCATGCCATTTTTACACACCTCCACGGCATGAAGGTGGGAGAGAAACTCCTCCTGAGGGTCCCTGTCACAGGCCAGCAATGTGCCGGGTGCCCATGGGGTCCTCTTCCATCTGAGACGAACTTCAGGCCAGGCAGATGCGCCTAGTGTCCGCTGTCCTGTACAGCCTGCCCATCTATACACCCCCTTTTGACGTGTCTCCACAGACAGCCAGAATGCCTGACCCGTGCCAGGGAGGCAGGCAGGGAAGGAGGTCCACACCTGAGGCAGTATTTGAAATCACAGGCTGTGGCCTCCTGCCCGTCTCGTCAGTACCTTGAGAGCTTCCTTTCGGATGTTATGTTGAACTACTTATTGAGTGAAGTTCTGAGACTGACTCCTTACCCATGCTCCCAATGGGCTCCACATCATCTTCCTCTTCAAGAACTTCAGGAGGGGCCTCGTCTTCTGCTCCTATCACAATCTCATACTCTGGAAAAAGGAAGTTGTGGTCTGGAACTGTATCCTCCAAATCACCTAAAACAAAAGTTGTTACCGTCATTTATAGTCATTTAGTTTTGACGATGATCTAAAAATTTTTTATTCCTGACATGTCATATTCCCTGAACAGTTTTTCTTAACAAGTTAACACATTGTTTCTGCATTTTAGATGAAGGATCGTAAGTTATATACCCGTGAGGAGGGAAACCTGGGAGCATGAACAAGTAGAATAAACCAGGTCTTAAAAACTATCAGTTCCTATCTCTATCTTTGTCTTCACGACTTTCATAGAGACGTGGGCACTGAGAAGTATTTATCCACTCTAAGAACAAAACACCAGCAGGACAGGAAAGAGTGACTGCAGCAGGCCAGGAGCCATTCCTAGTCGTCACTCCCCTTCTTTCTCCATAACAAGACTCCCTGCTGTTCAGTGGGGCACATGGCCTCCCAAAACACAGACAGCCCCCAGCCCCCAGCCCCCGACCAATGGCATGAAAGCCCAACAGTCACTGAGACTTCCAGAAACTGTCCTCAGAGGAAGAGGGTCTTGCCCCTTTTCCTACTGCCTGGAGCGTGAACCTAATAGCCGGAGCTCCAGTAGCCATCTTGGGCCACGAGCAACCTTAGAAATGGAGACATGCAGGTGGAAGGAGCGTGAGTACTCCACACTGAGAAGCACCGTGCCACCCAGTATGACTGCCATCGGACTCTCGTGTGAGAGAACTACACTTGATCTTATTTAAATCACTGTTACTTTGGGCTTTCTGGCGTCATTGATAACATAAGGAACATCGGGAAACCAGAGGGTGACCGGAGAGGATGGGCCTGTGCTTGGGGACAGCTGGTTTTCAACTCTGAATGAGTGTGGCCAAGTGGCAGGCGAGCCCAGCACTGTCCTTCTATCTTTTAAAGAAGCCGAGTGTCCTGATTCCTTAAAGTACCCCATGGATCAACAAACACCCACAGCTCAAGTCTGGTTGCTTGGCCACACATTTATAAGCCATTCTAGAGAAAATGTAAACAGGCAAAGAACTGAAGGGCAGAACACAAGTCCATTAAACATCTCTCTTTAAACTGCTTAGCACAAAGACGGCACTCCCAGCAACTGTGAATAACAATTAAATCAGCACAACCTCTTTGGAAGTCAATTTAGAACTTCCCGTTGAATGGAACCTAAAGATTTTCACCTAACTACAAATAAAAAGCTTGGCAAGGTACACGGCAACTTGGTTTAACAATGGTGAAGATGCTAATGGAAGGACGCTATCCTGGAAAATCATGAATAGATGAGACTGGTCTCATGACTGCAGTCGGCATGCTCAGAATCACAATGTCCACACAATCCACGTTACCTGACAGCTCCTTAACCAGTAACCAGCTGCCACGGAGTCGATTTCAACTCAGGGCAACCCCACGTGTTTCAGAGTAGAACTGCTCTCCATAGGGTTTTCAGTGGCTGTGATCTTTCAGAAGTAGCTTGCCAGGCCTTTCTTCTGAGGCACCTCTGGGTGGACTCAAACCTCCAACCTTTCAGTTAGCAGCTGAACGTATTAATCAGTTGTACCACACAGGGACTCAGACGGCTGGTTTACTGTAATTTAAGAGTTACTACACCAAAAATCTCTCACACAGTTTCTCTCTGCTCTCCCGTCATAAACTGTTTCTGACTGTCCTGTGAGAATCTAATGACTCTCCCTAACGTCTGCGTTACTCTTTGACATGAAAAACGACTATAACAAAGTTTTCAGTGAAGCCGGGAATTTGTAAAATGTATGAAGCATAATTAATTTTTAATAAAACATATTTTTGTGTATACACTCAAAAATATCTGGAAGGAAATAATGAACCCAGCAGATGGCCAGACACAGACCTGAGGAGAGGACAGACTTTTCCCTTAAATACACTTTTGCATTTTCTGAATTTCTTTACAGTCAGCAACTTCTGCTACATAAAAACTCTCCTCACTCTACCTTGCTCATGTAGCACAAAATTAGTGACCACATTAAAGTCAACACAGCAGTTTATTATTCTACATATGATGATCAGACATCCCCCATCCTCTCTGAGGCTGGTACTTGGTCTACATCAGCCCCTGAGGGTGGTGAGTTAAGGTTAGAAATGTGCGCAGTTTTAAATCCAAAAAGAAATATAAAAGAAAATCGTAATTTTTTATGGACTGTTTAATCTCAAGGACAAGGAAACCCTAAAATAAACTGACGGCTTCTATGTTTGGAGTGTTTGAGCTGCCACATCAGCCAGACCCTCCTCTGAGCCTGCAGAGGTCAGGACAGCTGTCGCTATGCACCCCCAGGGCGCTTACATGGCCGGCAATGAAACTCTTGGAAGTTCTACGTCTTTTCTCACGTTAACTCGTACACTCATCCTCGAAGTGACAGAAACTGTGGAGGAGCTGAGAGTGAGCACAATGAGCCTCACCTGCCCGCGCACAGGCCTGCCTGTGCCACCTCCAGTCCAGGGTCTGGTGCTCCTTGCTGCAGTAATGTGCCCTGTGGCACCTGGAGCATGTCTTGGGGGCTAAGCAGCCACATACCCGGCAGAGATGAGCACCAGACTTGAGCTGGAGACACACAGATTCTCCTGTCTCTGGGGGAGGCTCTTCAGAAGGCGGCTCATAGGAGTAAAAGTCGTTTTTCCTGGGTAGCTGATTCCTAAAAACTAAGAATGAGGAGAAAAATTATATTTTCAATAAAACAATACAGCAATTCAAGTTAATAAAAAGCTGAACCTCCACTCATGCACAGGACTGAAAAGAGGCTCACTTAAAAAAGTAGTCAAATAAGAGGAAGATTTTCCTCTCAGGGAGCTAATTTTCTGGAAGAGAATGGCAAAAACAAATAGAAAACAACAAGAAACTTCTAACATTCAGAAACTCAGTCTGCGTGGATGGGGGTTGGCTCCCGCGAGTGTGTCAAGTGAAGACTAATCGTTAATTAGGTTGCCGGAATGTGAAAAAGCTATTGGATTCCCCTTTCCTGGAAAAAAAAACAAAACAATTTCATTACCTGAACATAACGACCCTTATCTAGTACTTATTGAATGAGGCTGTGTAAATGCATGTTATTTCCCTAAAGGCACAGGGCGCCTCTGGAAGGACGCCTGAGGAAGTGCGAACAGCGGGGCCCTCCAGAAGGGAAGCTGGTGCGTGGGACAGCGACCCGGGGAAGAGGTACTGTCCATCGTTCACCCGAGTGCTGTTTGACTGTTACCGTGTGCATGTAGCAGCTATTCCAAAATCTAAATAACAGCGAAACACAAAAAGAAAACCTGGAACTGTAAGGCCCACCGGGGAAACTTCCCCCGCCGCGCCTCCCCATCCGGCACTGCCCCTCCCACCCCTAAGTGCGGCCCGGGCACCCTCACCGCGCAGGCCGGCGCAGCAGGACGGGTCGCGGCAGCAGAACAGAAAGAGGCCGCGGTGGAAGGCGTCGGCGCGCCCGGGCAGCGGCGCGTACAGCTGCAGCAGAAAGGCGGGCGGGCGGCCGCAGCGCGGGCAGGAAAGCGCCGCCGGCCCAGGCAGCCCCGCCTCGCCCAGCCCCGCCGGCCGCCCTCCCACCTTGCTGGGAAAGAGCGCGCTGCGCAGGCGCCACACCGGCGCCCCCTCCGCGAAGCCCAGCTCCACGAGCGCGGCCATGGGCGCGGCCATGGGGCTGGCGGGCGCCGACACGTGGGGTCGGAGACGCGGAGCCTGTACGCCAGCTCGAACTCGGCCCGCCGCCCGGCCGGGGCGCACAGACCGGAAACCGGAAACGAGACACCGGGGAAGACCGGAAACCGACAGAGTAGCCCACGGGAAAGTAACTGGAAGATAGAGGCGAGGAGGCGGGACAAAGGAAGAACACTAGCGGAGGCCCACCCCTCGCGCCCTAACTTCTGGCCCGTGCTGTCGGGGCGGAGAGTGTGTCTGCACGTCTCCACGAACGCACGTGCGCAGTCAGGATCGGGAGGGGGGCGGGGAGGAGAAAGACAGCGGGAAACGCGGCCGTTACGTACTAAGAAAATGGGCTCTCCACATCCTGGTGACTTTCCTGACATAAAAACACTGAACGTGCTTCCTTACTCTAGACTATGAGGACTGCTTAGAGTATGTTCTTAACCTATGGGGCGGAATGACCTGAGGACCCCATTGTGTCTGCCAGGGTTCACCATACTGCCGTCCAGTCTATTCTGACTCATAGCGACCCTATAAGACAGTAGAATAGCCCGATAAGGTTTCCAAGGAGCTGCTGGTAGATTCGAACTGCTGACCTTTTAGTAAGCAGCCGAACTCTTAACCACTATGCCACCAGGGTTTCCGAGTTCAATTTAGGGGGATGCAAATTACCATTTGTCTTGTAGGATCGAGACCAGCTAGGGGCTAGATAGGCCTCAGGCAACAAGCTATGTCAGTAGAAAATTTCCGAGCAACTACAAACAGCAACTTGCGACCCCACCCTGTTTCCTTTTTATTTTCCAGCTTAGAGTTGTTTTTCAGGCAATCTGGCTAAAACCAGACATCACCCATGTGCCATGAAACAGTAGGTGACTTGAAGGTGAACCCGGTGGCCATGATTTTAGTAAACGCCGCCATTTTCTTGGGAACACACATGTCACGAGTACACCAGGAGCCATCTTGAGGGAACGGTGGCAGCCTATACGCCTACGCCACACCCCTTTTTGAATATGCATATAATTTCCCAGACAATTAATGAATATGTATGACTTCCCCTTTCCAGCGTAGTTTAAAATTTCCTCCAGTCGTTGGTAAGGAGAGACAGTTCTTTGAGAAGGATCTCCCTGTCTCCTTGCTCTCTGCGAGCAATAAACCATGCCTTGCCTCAAATTCGCATGACTCTTATTCTTTAACAAGACTACAGGAAGCGAACTCATTGCATTAGGTAAAAAATGTTATTTTAAAATAAGTGGAGAAACGCTCCGGTTTGATGTGCGTAAACTCGTTCAGTTTACTGCAAGGTAGTTGTTCTATGGCGTGAAAGTAATACCTCTCAACAGTCGCTTAGAACCTGAGAAAGAATGAGCAATTACGATCACTACGTTTACTCAGTGGGTAGAGTCCAAGTCTTTCAGACTTCAGGCATTTACCTTTTACCAGTGGTCTTGGGAGGAAGGCTTGACCATGACTTTGCAGAGATCCTTCTAGCTGGGATCTGAGGATGGTGGCAGCAGGCGGAGTCTCAGCCTCCGCTCTGGCAGGGTTTCCTCTTCGGAGGAGTCAGAGTTGAGAGGTGACACTGTCTCTGCCTTCTGTCCTTGGAAGAGTGGATATTCAGTGTTTATACATGAATTTCTTACCTTGGCCTCTTGTGTTAAGTGCCAGTGTGACGTCAAAGACTAGTATGTTACACCGTCTTAGGGTTAGAGATTAGCCTAACGCAGAATCTTTTCTTCAAGCTTTAGAGATTAGGGAGGTTGTTTACTATCGTGTCTATTCAAAGTGTAGAGATGAGGGAGGTTATGACATGTCTCAAGGGTAGCTTACAAGAATTAACTATATGTTATGAAAGCATACAGGGATAAAGACAAGTAAAAAGCTGTTTATCACATTATTGACAGACTTCTATGTCTAAGGAAGGAAATTTTCTACTTCTAAGTTACATTATAAGTAACTTATGCATCTGTGGCTTAAGATCATTACAGAAGCAATATAATAGTCCCATATACATATTGCAGACATGTAGTTTGAGAGCGTTACAAAAAAGCATACATAAAACCATCGAACAAGGCAGATACTGCATCCGAAATCTCTGCTGCAGCTGCCATGATTTCTTTTAGCATAAGTCTTTCTAAGGAGCTGAGAATGGGAGAGGAGGTGGACACTGGAAGGGTGAAGTTACTTTTCTAACAACAGTTTTATATTCTTTAGAACTTTATCTCACATAAAAACCATGTTTATAATGTGCAAAGAAAGAAAAGTCACTACTAAAGATTATAAAATGAAAGAGTCAGTCATAGGTATTTAAAAATAATTACAAGTCTCTGCCAAATCAAGGAACAAGAGAAGAGATCTAGAAGAACAGCGTTTTATGCTTCAAATTATTTATGTACCACAAACCTTTCCATTATCATCGTGGATTAAGAATGCTGTCACTGCAGCTAGGGTGCTGGATGTTTACTTTTACAAAGTTAGGATGCAAATAAAATTAAAAGATCAATGACTACAAAAAATTAAACTTAAAAATCTTGCTATCCAATGAAGTAGGAGATGACCACAATAGGTTGAAAACAGGGAGTCAAGTCAGGGCTCCCTCCATGTGAGTACTTGGTATGCTTACTTGGTTTTTATGTGCTCTGCACTAAAATGGATTGCAATTCTGTTTCACTCTTACTCTTTCCAAGATATGCAAAAAAATGAATAGAGACCTTGGAAAAATTAGGATATTTATGATTTCAGTAGCTTCCTCTCTGAAAGTAACGACTGCTAAGGATTGTAATGTGTCCCTCAGAATTTGACGTTGTTGTTGTCAGGTGCCGTTGAGTAATTTCTGACTCTCAGCAACCAAATAAGATGGAGTAGAGCTGCCCTATAGTGTTTCCAAGTAGCAGCTGGTGGATCTGAACCACTGACCTCTGATTAGCAGCCAAGTTCGTAACCTCTGCACTACCATTGTAAATCCGAACCTCTGTGCCTGTGGTTGGGTTAGGGTTAGGGTTAGGGTTAGGGTCAGGGTTAGCGTTAGGGTCAGGGTTAGGGT